GGAGTTGGAGGTTGCTGTGAGCTGTAATGCCACGGCACTCTACCCAGGGGGGACAGCTTGAGGCTCTGTCTCAAAAAAAAAAAAAAAAAAAAAGATTTCATCATGAAAAAACTAACCAGGGCAGGGCCTGTAGTTCTGTGGGTAGGGTGCCAGCCATATACACTGAGGCTGGTGGGTTCAAATCCAACTGGACCAGCTAAAACAATAATGACAACTGCAACAACAAAAAAAAGCCAGGCATTGTGGCAGGCGCCTGTAGTCCCAGCTGCTCGGGAGGCAAGAGAATCACTTAAGCCCAAGAGTTTGAGGCTGCTGTGAGTCCTGATGCCACGGCACTTTACTGAGGGTGACCAAGTGAGATTGTCTCAATTAAAAAAAAAAAGGCAGCATCTGTAGCTCACTGGTTAGTGCACCAGCTGCATACACCGAGGTTGGCAGGTTCCAGTCCAGCCAGGGTCAGCTAAAGCAACAATGACAACTGCAACAGAAAAATAGCTGGACATTGTGGCAAGTGCCTGTAGTGCCAGCTACTTAGGAGGCTGAAGCAAGAGAATCGCTTAAGCCCAAGAGTTGGGGTTGCTATGAGCTGTCTACCCAGGGCGACAGCTTGAGACTATTGCCTCAAAAAAAAGTTAAATTAAGCAGACTCTAATTTACAAGCCTTTGAGGGTAAAAACTTTGGACTTGACTTAATAAATAAGCCAGCCATTTGGTTAATACCAAATAATACCTAGCTGAGGAACTGCTTACAAAAAGAAAACTAGATACAGCTCACATTTTTGAAAGATAAATTATAGACCCTTAGCTCTCTTGACCTATGATTGCATTTCAGATGTCCTTTTAACCTTGTAAACACTGACTGGAGGGCACTGGTGATAATGTCTTGGCCAATACATGTAGTTCTGAGACTTAATTGTGTATCTTTAAAAACAAATCAGTAGGCTCGGCGCCTATAGCTCAACCGGCTAAGGCGTCAGCCACGTACACCTAAGGTGGCGGGTTCGAATCCCCAGCCCGGACCCGCCAAACAACAATGAC